CCTCCCGCTCCCCCTGCCAACTACGCCATGCGTTTATGTGGTACATCCACGGCCCACCTCGATGCCTCCACCTCATCGTGCACGATCGATTCGACTCTGTTCTTGTGCTCGTCGGCGAGAGCAGTTGCGCGTGGCTCACACCGTGATCAACAACCTCCGCAACGCCAACAACAGGTGCCTGGTCTGCGACGACAAGATCGAGGGATTCCTCCCCGCGGTGCCGATTGTCTGCCAAAAGGTGTGTCCTGCCTGTCGTATGCCGCCCTGCGGCACGCGGATGCCTGCCTGCTCTTGATTCTAGTTTTGGTGCCGATCGTTGCCCATTGGTGTGTCCCGACGTATACCGCGTGGCACGCGCTGCCTGCCAAGTAATGATTCTGGTGTTTGCGCTGATCGACTAGTGTTATCGCAGCATGCTTAGGGCAACCGTTTGCTGGTCCTCTAAAAGATCTCGGGCCTCGGGAGTTTCGCACGAAAAAGCGCGTGGTTCGGGTCTTCCAAGTGAAAGTGATCACTTTTTTTTTTACCGTTCTGTGAGACCTCGAGAGACCGTAACGGTCTCTTATTGAGGCACCAGCGTGTGTGTCCTGTTGTATTTGTTACCGTTTCCCATGCGGTTGTTCGTGGTCAATGCTAGGGTTGGTGCCGATTGCGGTGTTTCCTGTCGAGTACCTTTCGCATGATGTTGTCAGTTGCGCTCAACTGTGGTGTTGGCGAATGCATAGCCAGAATGTGTCCAACCGTGTACGTTAGGCATGCGGTTGCCAGTACTCCATGCCGGGCCGGACGTCCGCCAATACAACTTTTTCCGTATCCGAGTAGCACCCGGTTGTCCGTCTGTAAGGCCAGGGTGTGTGCCGGTCATCCGCCATACTGTTAACATCTGTCCTGTACAGCGTGAAGCACAGGAAGCGATCCTAGGGTTGCTGCTGATCGTCTGTCGCAAGTGGATGTGTCGTCAATGCATTGCGCGTGGGCAGGGGTGCCAAATGAACAGCTTGAATTGATATAAGGGGGTCCCTCGAGAGCATCACTTCAATCCGAGAGGCCCACCCCCCCCCACTAGGTAAGATTCGTTCACTCTTGCTGGGAATGAGACTCTCGTGCGAAACGATTATTTTTATTTCTAGAAGGGGGTTCCGTGAGAGAATCGCTCGATCTGAGAGGCACCCCTCCCCACTCGGCAAGATTCTATTACTCTCGCCGGGTAATAAGATTCGAGCGCGAGACTAGTTGTTTCTATATCAGAAAGGGGTTCCGTGAGAGAGTCGTCCGAGAGACCCACTCCGCCCCACTCGCTGAGATTCGTCCACACTTGCTGGGTATAGAGGTTCGTGCACCAGCTAATAGTTCCTACGCATCGGTCGTTGCCGTCGACCTCTGCTTTCTCCACGGTTAACGACCCGAAAAGGATCCCTGCGTAATGAGCTCGGAGGAAATGGGGTGCGGAACGGACGTGGAATCGCACGTGACTGAGACGTGTTAAGGCTGCGTTTCTGCCTTGAGGACGCTGGGTGTTCATCCCCTGTGTTCGTTGGCCGCTTGAAGTGGACGGTTGGCCACGCCATGGAGGGGGATGTCCTTGGGATTTTTCGGCTTGCAAACACGCTGGAAAGAGAGGGTCCACAGGGGTTCAAGGAGAAGATATCTGTTGCTTGTGCCGAGAGAGAAGAACAGAATCTATGGAAAGAACCCAAGGATAAGGAGGGTCTAGAAGTGTACGGAATGTTGACGGAAGAAATAGGGTTCAAGGATTACCTACGTGGGCCAATGGATGCAGGAACAAAGCTTAAGGTCAAATTCAGGACCGGGGACATGGGCCTTGGAGAACGTCAACGAAGACATAGGACGGTAGACGACGAACACGACGAGTTCAAATGTGATTGCGGCTTCGAATGCGAAGACCGTGTTCATGTAGTCGCGGAATGTCCGTTGTACAAGAAGGAGAGGGAAGTGTACGTGACTGAGCTGGGAAAAATAGATGGAACGAACAGGGAGATATTTGAGGCATGGAATAGAGAGGAAAGGACGGTAGATGTACTGGGGCATGGGAGGTGGGTCGAACAGGCGGGAAGGGGAACCGTTAGGAAAGGCAGACTAGGCAAGACATTTTTGAGCCACCTTTGGCAAAGTAGGAAGGAACGATTGGCCATCGGTGATCGGTGCTGTGGGAACAATGCTCCGTCCTCTCGAGGACGCGTGGTCAATGGTCTAACCGCTAAGGCATGCAAAACAGAAGAGTACGTCCCCCCCACGATATTCCCTACAGGAGTAACTTTCTAAGGGAAGAAACATGAGCCAACCCTGACCGATGTTTGATTGTGTTACTGTTGTTGATGATGTGCCGTTGTCGTTTTCGTTGTCGTTGTCGGGGTTGTTGTTGCTGCTGAGCACATCGATATACACGCCTGAATAAGTTCGTCCGTAGACATGAACAAAACAAGGAAGAACGGCAGTGCGCCAATGAAACGCCTCTGGGCGGGTGAGCTTTCGAGGGCTTGCCCAACCACCCCTCGCGGTGCTCGTGCGCGCAGGTGCAATCGGGGGCCGCCCTTGCGTTCAAGAACCGCGACGGCACGCACGACGTCTAGAAGGTGTGTGTTGTGTAAAGGACTGTAAGCCCTCGCTTGAAAACTTGGCAGGTGAAGGGCGAAATCGAGAGCCTCGAACAGTTCGAATCGAAGAACTTGAGCACCATTTGCGAACTCGATTAAAAACTCAACACTCACACTTTTACGTACATAGCGGGTAACCCCAACCCTTACCCTAGGAAATGATTTTTCTTCAGCCTCGGCCAAAACTAGAGGTTCTTTGGCGCGGGCGCTACTGCGGGCCCTACTGTAGCGCTAGTCCGGTCTTGATCGACCGCAAACAATCGGGTTATATGTGTTGGGGGACGGTTTTCGGGGGACTGTTTTCGTGTCGTGTAAATATCTGGGCGATTTGGCTGGCTGTGAAAACTCGAGATTTAGTTTGCTGTTGCTCCCGTTCACGTTTTGGTCTGCCCTAACTCTCGGTAGTGCAATTTTGACTCGTTGCACAGCCGTTTCCGTGGAAGTACAAGAATTATCACGACTGCTTCTTTCACAGCCAACAAAGCACCGCATTCCCAGCCCAGCACGTCGCCATTGAAAAGAACCTCATCCCGTTTAGCCCATCTTGACCTGAAAACAAGGTCAACCAATACCTGGCACATCGCATCGCAGACACGCAGTGCCTCAATTACCATGGCAGGGCCGTGGACAAACAGACACACACACGGGTGCCGGGGAATCATCAATCGGGGCCACTCCTCTGGCATGGGAACCGCAATCAGTACAGACTTACCGGACGTGGACATTTTTTTCTTCTTTCATCACTTTAAACCAGTGCTCATATCATTTCTGCGGGTCGGAGCTCCAATTCGTGGTCACACAAGTGGTGCTTGCCTTCGATTTTTCAGATGTGAACGAATGGTATACTTCCTGGATGTGCGAAAAATCACGGGAAAAACGCAATTTTTCTGAGGGCCTCTGAGGGGTGGTTCCACCCCGTCTGCCGGCCGCCCACAAGCTGCCGCAGTCGATTCTGAGCGCACGTGTTGGCCGGCCCTGCTAGCAATGTTTTCTTGTTGCAACATAAGCTTTTCATCCTTTTTTCGAATGCTTGAAGTCAGCCGAGTTCCTCATTACTTGGTGTAACTCTGTTCCTTTTTCACCATAAATATTCCATTCGAGTGTCCCGTTGCTTTCTTCATCTCATGTGTGGGTCAGCAAAGTGCTGGACGTCTTCCCCTCCGTAACTGACATGCAGAGGTGTATCGAGTGGCAGGCGTAGGGGGGGCATTGCCGAGACCTCGGTGGCCAACAGCAGCAGCAGCAGCAGCGGCAGCAGCAGCAGCAGCAGCAATAGCGCTGTTCGGACGAACGCAGCTGCCAGTGGTGCTGGTTTTGCTGCCAGTGCTGGTGCGGCCGCGCCCAATCCCCGCACTGCTCAGGCCAAGCCCACGGCCACCAGCCTTGCTCGCAAAGCTCCCACCGCCGCTGCTACTATTTCTCGCGCAAACGTGGTGGTGGTGGTGGTGGTGGCAGTGGTGGCGGCGGTGGCCGTGTGGTCACGGCAGCCGAGGTGGCGGAGGAGCAGGAGGAGGAGCAGGAGGAGGAGGAGAAGGAGGAGGAGGAGCAGGAGGAGGAGGAGGAGGAGGAAGAGGAGGAGGAGGAGAAGGAGGAGTCAGCGTGGGAAAAGTTGGTCGCTCAGATGCTGTCGTTGAGGGGGGCTTTGACGAAGAGGACATGCTGTCGTACCCGCTGCTGCGGTGGCTGCTGTCAGCGTGAGTGCTCCTTCCTGCCAAAGCTTTCTGCTGTGGACGGCCACAAATAGCGTTGTCGTTGTCGTCGTTTCTTTGCGCTCGTCGCATGTTTGGAGGCGCTTTACCAGCCTGTTGCGGAGTGCTGGGCAACAACATTATGTCGGACCGTTTCACTTCAAGAGAACGGCAATTGGTCATGTTGTTCTCTTTGCGTGCTGCTGCTGCTGCTGTCATTTGTTCGCCGTTTTCGCCGGAATTTCGCGTTTTTTGGTCATGTACATGAATCTTGCCCACTTACGACCATTGCGAGGATCTGAGCTCATCCCGGAGATTCCCTGCGAGACAAAACACATCATGCTTGTCACAGGTACTGCTGCTCACTTCCACGCCTGTGTCCCCGTGGTTCTCTGTTAGGTTTTACTCGCGTACCCGGCCAACCATTTCGGAAATTTGAAGCATTTCAGATTCCCGAAAGGAATACCTGTCGAGGCTAGATGTACCTCCATCGTCCATCAAGCGTACCCTCCGAGGCGCATGCCAGACCTTGCGTGGCACGTTGAGAACTTAGTCCACGCACATCTCATATATCTACGTCATTGTCTTTTTTGGGGGAGAGCGAACGCGGCTAATAATTGCCATGTCAGAGACGGCACTTGCTCATCATCCACAACAAACTCAGGCGTGTAAAACGATCCTCGAGAAGGCATTTTTTTTTTTTTGTCTTCACTTCAAATCAGCGCTCACAGCACTGGTGCTGTTTACTCTAGTGTTAAGGAGTGTGGCTGCTAGCATGAATAGGGTACATCTTATTGTTGATTGGATGTGGGTCGGTCAGGAGGTATACCCTTCTGACCCCTACCCCCTTAGAATTGTCTACTCTGTGTACCCCGTGAGATGAAGCTGGATCCCCACTTCATCTCAGACCCTTGCTGATCGTCTCTGAACAAGAACAAGCAACTTTCCCATCCCAACGTGGTCGTGGACAAGTGTGTCAACGACAGAACCTTCATCTATCTCTAGGAGCAAGCTACCGCCCACGGCTTCACCTCCTTTACACTTGGCGTCAGCGGCAGGATTTGAACCTGCGCGTGAAATCACAATGGGTTCCGAATGGCATGCCTGCGCTGATCGGATAGTATCTGGTATCGTTCAAACCCGAAGTGGGTGCGCTTTCGTCCCCAGATGCGTTCGTTTCCAATGGTCTCCAACGTATTCCCCTTGCAGGTTGTGCCGAGCTGGAGCCGGAAGACGTAATTGGAGTGTCTGCCGCGCCGCTACTACGAGTACCGGTGGAAACCCTGACGGCGGCACCATCTCCGATTCCTACCGGTCCCACAACCTCTTCATCACCACATCAGGTCAACGTCGTTGGCCTCAAGTCCGGGACTCACCGCTCTCCGGACCCAGCCTCCGCCCCGCCTCCCCCGAAGCCGCCACCACAAGAATTACTTGACCGCTTCTCTGAGGAACAGCGCTCCAACTTCATGCGCTTGTGGGCCAGGCTGCCCGTACATATGCACGACATCGCTTTCGATTTACACAATCCGGGATGGACCCCGGAGGCTATTGATCGTTTGGCCGACGCCCTTGTTGAGTATTCTGATGTGTTCTCTACTTCGAAAACCGATTCTGGTTCCAGCAGGGACGAAGCCCGTTGCATCACGTCCGTATCGTATCAACCCGTTGATGTAAAAGAAAGTGGATGCCATTTTGCACCAGTGTTTGGCGGCAGGGCTCATGCAGCATTCCGCGTCTCCGTGGGCTTCTCCTTTGGTTGTCATCCCCAAGAAGGACGGATTGGTTCGCATCACCGTCAACTACAAGCGTCTCAACGCCCANCAGGGACGAAGCCCGTTGCATCACGTCCGTATCGTATCAACCCGTTGATGTAAAAGAAAGTGGATGCCATTTTGCACCAGTGTTTGGCGGCAGGGCTCATGCAGCATTCCGCGTCTCCGTGGGCTTCTCCTTTGGTTGTCATCCCCAAGAAGGACGGATTGGTTCGCATCACCGTCAACTACAAGCGTCTCAACGCCCAGGTGGATTTGGATGGACAACCTCTCCCTCCAGTGGACGGTATCTTGGATTCGCTGTACACCAGGAAAGTGTTCTCCATCTTCGACCTCAACTCGGCTTTCCACCAGATCGTTTGCGATGAATACACTGTCCCGCTCACCGCCTTTTGCACTCCCACGCAGTTGTTCGAATGGCTTCGAATGCCGCAGGGAGCCAACGCAAGTCCGTCTTGGTTCATCAAGGTCATCAACAGAGTGGTGCACGGTCTGGAGCGTGCGCTTGCGTATCTGGACGAGGTCATCTGTTTCGATGAGGAACCTCTGGGACACGTGCTCAACATGATAGGGTCCTTCAAACGGCTGCGACAGTACAATCCCAAACTATCTCCGGGGAAGGCTCGCGTCGGCGCCACACACGCCAACTTCCTCGGTCACACCATCTCTCCGGCCGGTGTTAGCCCTGATAGCGTCAAGGCTAGGGCGCTCACGCACATGCCGCCGCCGATGAATGTTAAGCAGGTTCGCAGTCTTCTCGGTGGACTCAGTTACTACCGGATATTCCTCAAGAATCTCGCCACCAAGGTGTAACCTCTCAACTCTCTTCTCAAACAAGGCGTTCCCTTCAAGTGCATGGTCAAGGTTGTCAAACGTTGTTTAGCGAACTCGCTCGTCCCCCGATTTTGGTCTTCCCGGATTGGGCAGCGGTCGAGGACGACAGCCGTCCTCTCCGTTTGTGTTCCGACGCGTGTATCGACGGCTTTGGCGCCTCCTTGGAACAAGAACAACTCGATGGCTCGGTGAGACCCATTGTGTACATCAGCCGCGCTACTCTTCCTGCGGAGCGTAACTGGACCGTTCTGGATTTGGAGGCTGGTGGCATTGTTTGGGACATCAAACGCCTTCGCGGTTATCTGTGGTCGACCAAGTTCACCGCTTGTTCGGACCACAAAGCCTTGGAGAGCATTGGCAAGGTTGGGGAACACAACGCTAGGGTGCAACGATGGCTCGAATTTCTATCAAAATTCACCCACCCTATAATATCGGAAAGGTTCGGCAAACGGCAACGCGGATTTTCTTTGGGGCTGCCGTTACCAGCACAAGACACGGACACNTGTTTGGGACATCAAACGCCTTCGCGGTTATCTGTGGTCGACCAAGTTCACCGCTTGTTCGGACCACAAAGCCTTGGAGAGCATTGGCAAGGTTGGGGAACACAACGCTAGGGTGCAACGATGGCTCGAATTTCTATCAAAATTCACCCACCCTATAATATCGGAAAGGTTCGGCAAACGGCAACGCGGATTTTCTTTGGGGCTGCCGTTACCAGCACAAGACACGGACACAACCGGCCCCGACTGCATTGATGGTGTCGATCAAGCGAGTGTTTTCCTCATTCGGGCTTGCGGGCGCAACTATCACTCGTCGTCTACGCCGGAGGTCGGTTTGGGTGGGCTCCTCCCTGCTTGCGCGGCAGGAGTCTTTTCGCCCCCAGCGCTCCAGCCCTCCGATTTTCGAAATTTTCGCCGACATCACCCGCGTCGGTTGGATGCTCTGACGGACTCAACGATTGCCTGCGAGGATTCTCGGCGGTCTCTGGGGGTCTTCATCGTTTCGCCTGTTCCTGGATCTTCAGGGCCTGTTTCCCCTTTGACTCCTGCTACGTCCCGCGTGATGTCTCCTGTCGCGTCTTTGGCGTCTAGATATGTGCACGTTTTGTCTTCGCTTCCGGAGCGGGGACCGCTCATTTCTTCACGGACTCAGGCCAAGACTACCGCTGCTTCCGGAGGCACCGTCACCGGTTCCGCGTATTTCGGACGCCAGCCGCGGGCTACCATCGTCCCTCGGACATCGTCGTCTGCCCGTCGCTCTAGCAGGTCCCGCTCGACAAACAAGACCACTCGAACCGTCGCGCGTCTGCTGCGGCCATCCGCGACGCCGGCATCGGCGTTTTCGTCGACTGCCCCTTTGTCACCGGTGTCTCCGCCGTCATCGGAGCGCCCTGCATCCCCGGTTTCGCCTTCTGTACAGGTTTCGCCCGGGACTTCGCCCCTCACGATGTCCCCTTCGCGGACATCATCACGGACTGCGGCTGCCCCAGTGGCTGGGGCTCCTCCTTCTCTGAAGACAGCCTCTTCCGTTGGATCGCCTGACTTTCGTTTGGAATCTTCTGATTTGGACACCTCCTACCTGCGGGCTTGTGTTCAGAGTTTCAGCACTGTGGACTGGGCTAGGGAACAGCAGCGGGAGAGCGAGCGTATGGTGATTGTGCGTTTTTTGTCTTGCGGTTCTCCCTCCCCACCCCCTCCGAACTTGCTCACTCTCCGTGCTCCTCTTCGCCCCCCTCGGTTACATGATGTGCTTGCGTTGGCGGCGAAAGCCAGACTGCACACGACCGACCACACGTCACCCTCCTCGTACATAAATCGGCGTCGTCGCCGATTGGGCGCTATGGCGGCAGGACCACTCGTCTGCCCAATACTGGCATGCCCCGTGTCTACGTGCAAATGCTGATGCGTCCGTGGGTCCTTCATGCATGCCATACCGCTGCGTCCTTCCATCTTGGCGTCCATCGTACACAGCGTCTGCTTCAACGTTTCTGCTGGTGGATTGGTTTGGATCGTTCCGTGCGCTGGTGGCTTCGGGCGTGTTTGGTGTGTCAAGCTCGCAAGACTTCACGTCAGACTGCTCGGTGACCCGTCATCGCTATGCATTGCCGCAGGGGGATGGTACAGTCGTCGGCGTCGACTGCTTCGGACCTCTGCCAGTGACTGCCAAGGGAAACTCCAACATTTTGTTGTTCACAGACCGTTTCAGTCGAAGAGCCGACATGTTCGCAGTTACAGCGGCGGAGTTTACGGCGAAAGGGACGGCTCACATTTCGTCAACCAGTACATGACCAAGTGGGGATGTCCGACTACGTTATTGTCGGACAACGGACTACATTTCTGCTCGAAGCTTTCCGTGGCGATCTACGAGGTGATGAAGATCAAGAAGGTCACCCCCAGCTCCTACCACCCACAGACTAACGGTGGCACGGAACGCGTCAACCACACGATGGCCCAGATGCTTGCGGTGGTCGTCAACGAACAGCAAAACGATCGGGACGTACATCTCCCGCACGTTGAGTTTGCCTACAACAATTCCGTGAACCAGTCTACTGGATTGGCGCCAAACGAGATCCACATCGGACGCATCCCGCGACTTCCGCTTTCGGTCTTCGATCATCCCAAGGTAGGTGGTCATCAAAGCTTGGCCCGCGATCAACTCGAGTATTGCAACCTGGCTGTCGATCGCCAGCGCCGGGCCTACGAACTTGTCCGTGAGTACAACGCCCTGAAGATTTCGCGAGTCGAACGTCGCAATTCATCCCTGCTGGACGCCATTCACAAGCTCCCCCAATTTACCGTTGGCGGGTGGGCTTGGGTGTACAACACGGCTGCTACAATTCGACAGGGTGCGCAGCAGGACACGGACTACAGTTGCTCAAGGCTAAATTCGCACTTTCCAGGACGGGCCCCTACAAAGTTCTTGCGGTGGGTCCCGCCTCCGCCGACGCCACTCCGGGCGGCCGCCCGTTGGCGCGTAAACTCCTCTACCTGGACCTGCCTTCCGATCTTTCCGGCCCCGCAGCTCGTTGTCGCGTGTCTGTCCTTCGTTGCGAGCCCTGTCGCAATCCGTATGAGACGGACGACTTGCTGCAATTTCTACCCGCCGAGCTTTCGCGTTGTGTTCTGCACTCTTTCGGAGATAAATGTCCACCTTTTCACGTCACCGCGGATGATGTGTCGGTGCCTGTTGGACACCTCGAGGTCGACTACATCTCGGGACATCAAGTTGTGCGGGGCCGTAGCGGCGTTCTCGCTGTCCTGTACCAGACGCATTGGTTAGGCCTGACTACTCCTTCATGGGAACGGGAATCCGACCTCGATCAATTCCGTCGACAAATCCTCTTTGGCTGGTCTCGGGAGGTCTGCCAAAGCAAGCAGGGTAACCGTTCATATCAAGTGGTTCGGACTCGCGCGGCACAGCGGGAGCTAGCCTGGAATCGTGGAGAACGCTACTTGCCTCCTGGGGCTGATCTTGTGCTTCACGCGACTTCTCTTCGTCGTTTCAGCGCTTCGCCCCTCCCTGTTGGCGCGCGGCTATGGTACAAGGCCCGTGATGGATTGTGGTGGACCGGACGTATTCGTGCTCATCAGGACGGCTCGTACATCGTTCGATTCGTGGATGACCCGGGCCCAAGCGTTATCCCTCTGCCTGCGCACCTCTACTCCACCGCCTTGGAGGCCGTCTGTGGATCATGGTGTTCAGAGAAACATCGTTCGCGCCCTCTGGGCGACAACCGTGGTCGCACGCCGCTCCTTGCTAACTCCTTACCGTCGGCTGTTCCCACCATTTCTTCTCAGCGTCGTCGTTTTCATATACCAGTCGGCCTATTTTGTTCTTATGTGCCATCCTTCTCGCCGACATTTTGTTTCTATCACCTTCCGTTTTGTTTTGTTTAGTTTTTTTTTGCTGTCTTGTCTCTTTTCTTTTGTTGGCTTATTTTTTGTTGGGGACGCTGGGGCAACGCCGCCTCAAGACACGCAGTGTCGGGTGATCTTTCTTCCTTGTTGCCTGCATTCGTCTGAACCAGTGAACTGCCGCGACCTGGATGTCCGCTCTCTCTCGCCTTTGCTTATTTTTTGTTGTTGTTGGTCTTTGGTTCTTGACAGGCTCCATCGTGCCGCAGAAGTGTCGCATACGCACGGTGCTTCGCGATTCCATCCCGTTGCGTCGCCTTCTCCCGTGGATTTTCGTCGTCACACACACTTCGTTCTGCTTCGTCTCCATCATCGCCACCTTCGGGCGACGCCTTCATCACCGTCGCGCCCCTGAGTCGTCATCTTGTTGTGTGTACCTCTACTTTTCTGTGTTTTGTGTCTTTGTATGATACGTATCGCCCGCGAGCCTTGCGCAGTTCGTCAAACCGACTCTCTTGAATTATCATTTGTGCTTTGCGTCCTTGGTCCTCAGTAGGTCTTGCCCTTGCTGTCTCCGTATACGAGTTGGGTACCCTGGCACGCTGGCAATTGTTCTCCGTGCCTTTGCTAGTCACTCTTTTCTCCTGCCCTTCGATGACGTTGTCCTAAATTGCGTTGAATTTTCCCTTTACATCGCGTCCAGTATCAAAGGCCGTATTCGTTCGGAAATTTGTTTGGGTTTTGAGTTTCGTCACCGTATTTTGAACTCTCGGGTAGACACTCTCATTCCTCCAGTTGTGATACGCGCGGGTGCGCGCAAAACAGTGGTGTGTGGGGTTTGGACATTGATTTTGTTTCCTCTGTCGTCGTCTGTTCAGGATGATAGCTAGCGTGCTCTGCAGCATATATATTCTTCGTAGCTTTATCCCTTCAAGCGTTGTCATTAAATGTCGATGTTCCTTATGACCGTTCGCATTCTTCGTCTCAATGATGGTGTGGGGGGTTAATTCGGGATATTTCTACAACTCACCCTCCTTTTGGATGTCTTGTGAACCGCCATATCTTTGATTCATGATCATAAATCATCAGCTAAATCTAACATTGACTTTTAGTATCTGAGCATTGATTTGAGTATAGAATCTGCATGTATGATATTCAGGGTGGGCTAGTGTTAACGAGTGTGGCTGCTAGCATGAATAGGGTACATCTTATTGTTNGGTTTGGACATTGATTTTGTTTCCTCTGTCGTCGTCTGTTCAGGATGATAGCTAGCGTGCTCTGCAGCATATATATTCTTCGTAGCTTTATCCCTTCAAGCGTTGTCATTAAATGTCGATGTTCCTTATGACCGTTCGCATTCTTCGTCTCAATGATGGTGTGGGGGGTTAATTCGGGATATTTCTACAACTCACCCTCCTTTTGGATGTCTTGTGAACCGCCATATCTTTGATTCATGATCATAAATCATCAGCTAAATCTAACATTGACTTTTAGTATCTGAGCATTGATTTGAGTATAGAATCTGCATGTATGATATTCAGGGTGGGCTAGTGTTAACGAGTGTGGCTGCTAGCATGAATAGGGTACATCTTATTGTTAATTGGATGTGGGTCGGTCAGGAGGTATACCCTTCTGACCCCTGCCCCCTTAGAATCGTCGACTCTGTGTACCCCCTGAGCTGAAGCTGGATCCCCATTTCATCTCAGACCCTTGCTGATCGTCTCTCAGCAGTAACAAGCAACTTTCCCATCTCAACGTGATCGTGGACAAGTATGTCAACGACAGAACCTTCACCTATCTCTAAGAGCAAGCTACCGCCCACGGCTTCACCTCCTTCAAACCAACCCGTGGTCACACAACCAGTAGAGCCCCTCTCTACCCTCCCCTCCTGCGGTACTTTGCCTTCGATTTTTTAAGAAGAGTTCAGCACTCCCTTCCCTCTGTGTACACACGAACTAGCGCTATCCGCTAGGCCAAGAGAGGAAGCGAGAGAAAAACTCCCGTTGCAAGAATAGCTCGATTACGCCGAAACTCGAATCCCTGACCTGACCTCTAGAAGGTTTCGAGGATACTAGCTAGACCACCGTGACGACCGGTTTGCCGTGGGCGTCCCCCACCCCCCTCTAGCGAGTTGGCTCCGTGAGAAAACCTTCTGTTACGGCTAGTTGCTTCGTGGGGTACGGTGGTTTATGCTTGTTCCGGACGAACCAGGCAATGCGTGTGAGGTGCTCGTTGAAGTGCTTGGTGTTCCCTGTGGCCGTGCTTGTGATGCGCCCAGGGTTTTCCACGCGTCCTGCGTGGGCGTGTCTTTGTACCTCTTCGTGGCGCAGCCGACGGTGGCGGCGGAACAAGCGTCGTAGGTAGACTTGGATTTGTGTTTCGCTCACAACCACTACCTCGTTTTATGTTGAAGTTGTGGTTGTCCAGGACGGTCCCCACCTTCGCAAAAGCCAATCAATGTCTGCCGCCATAGGCTTGGACATTTTTTTGACCCGTCGAGAGCGCGGCAAAGGCTCGAGGTCGCTTCCTGTCGGCAAAACGACCCAAACAATGCAGAGCACGAAAACCGCCAAAAAAAATGCAATAGCATCCAAGACAAAGACAAGGGTCCAACTTCACACACCGTGTCGATGTTGTTCGCGCCTTCGCATCCAAACCGCGAAGAAAAGAAATCAAGAATTGGCAGCACCCAAAATGAACAGGTCCCGCCACTCACGAAGAAATAACAAATATCAAGGCAAGGGCAGTCAGGAAGACAGAATTTATGCTGGGGGGTGTACTCATTGTCGTGCATGCCGTAGTCGTTAGACCATTGACATCGCATCCCTACAAAGCCGGGACGGAGAACGCCGGGTNGTACTCATAGTCGTGCATGCCGTAGTCGTTAGACCATTGACATCGCATCCCTACAAAGCCGGGACGGAGAACGCCGGGTTCTCAACGGACCAGGCTCTCACATCACCAAGCGTGAAGCGCCGTGAGGTATTCAGCGAGTCGCATGAAGGGTGCGCTGCATCCTGCTAAGGGTGTTCGGCATCTCGTGCTTACTTCCTTGATGGCAGCTGCGTATGACTTAATTTATTTTCTGGTGCTTTCACTTCAAGAGACAGCTGTAAGCACTGTGTAACTGCCTCGAGGATGCGTGATCATATTCACACAAGNGTGCGCTGCATCCTGCTAAGGGTGTTCGGCATCTCGTGCTTACTTCCTTGATGGCAGCTGCGTATGACTTAATTTATTTTCTGGTGCTTTCACTTCAAGAGACAGCTGTAAGCACTGTGTAACTGCCTCGAGGATGCGTGATCATATTCACACAAGGTGGTGCGATCATCCCCCTTGCGCGGAGTGAGGATTGTCCACCCCGCACAACATGATCTACTCGACCACCATTATGGTTACCGCCAAAAAAAATAGTCCAGAGGAAAAAAAAAAAACGGAAATCTGGTTGCCGAGTTCACGAAGTTAGTTGAAATCTGGTTGCCGAGTTCACGAAGTTAATTGGCCTGTTTTACAACGTCGTTGCCAAACAAACGACGAAAACACAACCCCGATGGCGAACACCGGGGGGGATTCATGCTGGAAAAGGCAAAATAGTTCATTCAGCTGTAACGTACATTTGAGTACAGGTTTTTGAGAGAGAAGGGCTGATTGAGATGAAACTGCCCACAAGGCGTGTCAACCAGCCTGGCCTGGAATCTTGAACGAACGCCTGTCTGTCCATTTGGACGCAATGAGCTGCTCGTTTTAACCCCTTTGGGTCTTCTAGCCTACCCCTTTGTATTTTTTGCGGCAAAAAATAAAAACGGACAGAATGCGGGGAGAGAAAGAAGTAGTACAGCAGAGAGAAGACGAGTGTATTTCTGAAGACACAACAGGTATCTCCACCCATAGTCCATGGGAGCTGCCCGCGATAGGACGGTGGACACAGACAGGATCATAGAAGGGTTGATGCGTGGTCGCGGTGCGGCCAGTAGCGCAGTTTAGGCTTGTAGACCTCGAAAAGATCAGTCGTCAAGAAGCCTGAACTACTCTATTTTCAGTACCTTCAAATGATCAGTGAGAGGGCTTGTAGACCCATAATACCTGGTTTTTGTACTTCTGTACTTCTCTGTCCCCTCCCCGATGTGAACCCTGCCGGCTCACTACAGCTCCTGTGATTTTCCCACAATTCCCACAAGCACGCAAGCACACACCAGCACACAACTACCTTGGCATCAGTGGCTCTCTAGGTTCGGGCGAGGGTATGTGTGGGGCGATGCTGATAGTGTATGTGTTACTACCTACTGTGCTGTAAATGTTGGACACGTCTATACGACTGCTGGTGTGTAGAATAGCCGCTGACATGAGGACTGTGCTGGATCTTGGGAGTGTAGTCTAGACTACGATTTTCTTATTTGGAGGATATATGTGCAGCATGCCACGATATCCTGGCCTGTTTGGGCTTTANTACCTTGGCATCAGTGGCTCTCTAGGTTCGGGCGAGGGTATGTGTGGGGCGATGCTGATAGTGTATGTGTTACTACCTACTGTGCTGTAAATGTTGGACACGTCTATACGACTGCTGGTGTGTAGAATAGCCGCTGACATGAGGACTGTGCTGGATCTTGGGAGTGTAGTCTAGACTACGATTTTCTTATTTGGAGGATATATGTGCAGCATGCCACGATATCCTGGCCTGTTTGGGCTTTAGTGCCCCTTTTCGCTGTCCTCCTGTCTTTGCTTTAGTGGCTTCCTAGATTCGGGCGAGGGCATGTATATGTGGAGCTAGTGATGTGTGTCGATATGGGGAGAGATTCATGGTGGTGGTATTATTCGCATTTAGAGCAGTTGTGGGCACCACATGTCAGTATATATATAAGGCTTGGGGCACCTTATCTCGTGTCGGGCAAACACCCTTTTACACAGTGTGCATTTTCTAATAATTTTGGCCGTTCCAGGGGCCTTGATATTTCCCGCTGGCACTAACGTCTTTTCATTGGCCACCGGGTAGTGCGGTCGATGCGAATTATGATAACACACCTACCTATTGACTTGCCAACACCTGGCGTGGAGGGATACAGGGCGGCAACTCCATGGCATGCGACAACACCAGCATTTAAAAGTTGATCAATTAGACTAATGATTTGTCAGAACGCCTGTAGACCCAAAAGGGCTAATAATACGAAAACGCTAGTTATGAACCATTTTTCGGTTTTCTATGCCGTTCGTCCTCTTGGTTCGGTGCCGGCCGCTGTTCTTCTGCGTCAAGGGTCCTCTCTATTGTAGGGGATTTCGCTCACGTTGCTTGTTCTACAATCGTAACGGGCGTTTCGAATCTGCCTCCCTCCTCGACTTTCACGTTGTTAATGGGATTCACGCAGACGGTAAAAGATTCTAGTAGATAGATGTTTCGGAAAACGGGACTTCACGACCCTGGGTAGACACCACCGACCCAAGGGAAACTTTGGCAGATCGGAATGTAGGCAGGAAGATTGACCAATACGGAAACTGGGGGCACCTACCACACGAAGAAAACGTCTCGTTGTGACGCACGTTATGCGCCGTTCAGGCACAGCGGAGCGAGAGGCTACGTTCCAGACGATGAAGCGGATTGCGGGGTCCAGGAGGAGCGGGGGATCTGGGACAGGGTCGTTCTACGCCTTCCACGGGAGCAAGCCCGACAGCTGGCACGGCATCCTGCACGTGGGCCTCAGGAACGTTTCCGGTGTGTTGGACTGTCTGTCGCCGTTGCTTTGCTGTCTGGTGCGTTTCTTTTGCAGTACACGGTCCTTGAGTGGCCGGCATTCTCGCTGTCTTGGCGAGTGTTGTGAACCCCCGCTGGGATGAAGAAACACGCCCGCTTCTTCTCGGTCGCTGGGGAACAATCACGCGTGTTAGATATACTCACAGCAGTATCTGGTCGTGAGGATCCCAAGGGGATACGTGTTGGGAATCTCGCGTGTTGTAGGGTACCATCGGTGCAGTCACGGGGACCCTTTTCGCGCGGTTGGAACGATGAGGCTTGCGTGCGTGTTGCGCGCTTTTTCTCCCTTCTCTCCTTCCACCGCTACCACCGTCTCTCTCCAATCAAGTTTCCTTCTCCCACTCTCTCTCCACGTCTCTCTCAATCTCTCACTCTCGGCCTAACACGGCCGACTACCCAGTGCCCCAAGTAACGCCCAGGACGGGCTTGCTGCACCCCGCGTAGTTTACCTTTCACACTAGTGTGCCGATATCACGGTATCTGCGCGCGGGCGTAGCCTGCCGGGGGTTGTGCAATCACGCGCAATCGGTAGACTCCCACAACAACAGACACCGTGGAGGGCATTGACCTCTCTGCTCTTAGCGGGGAAGAACTACAACAAAAGGTGGAGGAGATCGTCCAGCAACGAGTACAAGGCGAAGTTGAGGCCAACAGGATCAACGAGGGTGAATTCACCTACGCCCAACCACCAGCCGTCAACCCAGTCCCACCCACTGGCAACCAGCCATCACCCTCCAGCCAAGGCAAACCAGCCACCTTCATCGACCCCAGCAGCGTCGCACACATCGTGGCGCAAGCGGCTAAGGCGACAGTTGAGGCCATTGCTGAACAACAGGGCTTTGCCCGTATAGGCACGTTACGTGTCAATCCTGGCTCAGAAATAGAACCTTGGCTTGGTAGCGTGAAGAATGAGCAGGACTTGTATATTATGTTTGCTATTTTTCGTAGTAAGATGATTTCATATTATCGGGAGGAGGGTGTGCATAATGCGTTGGAACTGGAGGTCGAGGTGAAGGTTGGAAAGAGGGGTGTGAATGTAGCAGAGCTCCGGATACTTTTTGGCAATGATGTGGTAGACAAGTCTTTCAAGCTATGGAATATTCTCATCAGCAAGAGTTTGTATCCCCCGATTCAGAGCTTGATTCTGGCGTGTGAAAGTCCACAAAAAGGCTGGAAAATAATGACAGAATTCTATCAGGAGAAGAAGCAGGCAGAAAAGTCGAGGTTGGAGCAGGACTGGAAGGAGGTTGAGATGAAAGCGTCTGAGAGTCCACAGGACTATATTGCCCGGGCAGAAGCCCATCGCTTGCGTCTAGCGTCTGTACGCATGATTAAGGATGAAACAAATGCCAACAAAGACATTGCTCGTGGCCTTCCCTCTTCGTATGTCGTGCAATAAGGAATACTGCTTGCCCACGATGTCCTGACGTTGAGTACCCTCGAGACTGTGGTGAGGGACGCCCACGGGGAGATGGCGCGCGAGAGGAGCACGGGGGAGAGGCGCGAGGTGGAGCTCGCTCTCGTTGCGTCCGGCATGAGCCGGCGCGGCGGGGGCAGTGGGGGGGCATCCGGGGGTCAAGGCGGCGGTCACGCAGCAGCTGACGGCCAAGATAGCGACGGAGAGAAGAAAAACGGTGATGTGTTCAACGACGACCCTTACGGATTCTGCCGCTACCACCAGTCCAAGCTTCACACCAACGAGCAGTGCCGTTTCCAGCGGCAACTGCGGCGCGCGCGTTCGAGAGAGGGCGCCGAGGAACGCCGCTCGGGGGGCGGCAGCCGCGGTGGCGGCGGTAGCCAGCGAGTGGGTAGACCGCCGACGGGGCCCGGCCGCGGTGGCGGGCGATGGGTGAGGAATGAAGGGCAGCAGCACCACACCGGTCATGGTGGCGGTGGCTGGAGCCAAGCCTCGCCCCCCCCGCGACCTCTTCGTAGACGTGGGCCTGGTGGTCGTCTGGGGCGTCACGCGGGGGATTGTGGGCCCGCGGGACGCCACAGCAGCGACGGTCGTGCCAAGAGAGAGCGGGCAGGGAGAGGCCCGGGGCACGCGCGTTCTGGCCACGGACGAGAGCAGGCGTACGTAGCGTACCACGCCCACGATGATGGTGGTTACTACGAACACTACGGCGACTACGATGACGAAAACTATTGTGACGACGGATACTACGACGCCGGGTATGCACACTACGCTGGCGGTGGGGACAGCTACAGCTACTCCTCCGGGTACGAAGACAGCCGCTCATCTGACGGCGGCATCCACTACGTCTACTACCCTCCCGCTGGCGAAGATTCGTCATTCGAGCAGCCACGTCAGCCCCCCCCCGCGAGCAGCAGCACCACCGCTTCCTCCTCGTCCTCTACTCCTTCTCCTGGCGCGCCTCCATCATCGGGACCTCCACCTCTGCGCGGCACAATCGGTGCCCATAGGCAAGTCTCACCCTGAAGTATTTTTCAGTAGGATAGGAGTGACGATTGGAGTAGAGTCTGCTGCGTCTACTTCGTCTTTGCTGAGTGTGGAATCTAGTGAGGGGCCGCCTGGTAGCGAGAGATGGGTAGCTGACTCAGGAGCCAGCAACAGTTTCACCAACAACAGCCTACACATGTATGACCTGGAAGAGATCCCCGCCAGTAGGAAGTATGTCGTTGTAGGTGATGGTCGACTGCTAGAAGTGCAAGCCATCGGTAGTATCAATCTTACTTTCTTCCAGGAGGATGAGAATGGTGAGGAAACGACGATGTGTGTGAAGCTCACTGACGTGTCTGTTGTAGAGAGCCTGAGGTTCAACTTGTTCTCAACGCATGCTGTTTCTCTGAAGCAACCAATCCTCTCCGACGACCGTGGTGCAACTCTACAAAATGGACTGCTCTTCGCTAGAGAGGAAAAAGTGTCTGCAGCGTATGCCATGCGGTTGCCGTACGACCCATCTGCGACTATTGTAGACCCTGCTGCTTTGCCCGCATTCGTGACTGCCCTCGATTCCGCCCCCGCCGTTGGCTCCGCGCGTTCCCCTTCCCAAAAGGGGGGCTCCGCGAAATCATTGGTGTCCATGTTGCGTATTCCTCCCGCTCGCTCAGCTAGCGTGGTACCTTCGGCTGATAGCGTCCCGCCCACTGGTCCCACCAGTGTAGTACCTGCGAGTGAGAGCGTCCCGCCCGCCGACTCTGCCGACGTAGTACCTTCCACGGCGTCCGAGTTTGTGTGTGTGGGTACTTTTCCGGGTATGGATCTTGGAGATACGAGTGTGCTCACCGACGAGCAGCTCATGGATGGCTATGATGACACCCCGTATCAAGATTTTCCCCCCGTGTTTATCCCAGAGAGTGACGCTGCGAATGTAGCTGGTGTTTTGGATAGCATTGATGGGGGTGCTGATTTGACTTTTGTGCTGCCGCGCTTGGCCCTGGTGCGTCCCCGTTTGCTCTTGGTTCGACTGAAAAGTCCGTTGACATCAACCGCTTCCACCGCTCCCTTGCCCACGCTTGCGAGCCTCGTTTGAGAGAAACTGCCCAGCAGAGAGGCATCGTGCTCACGGGCAAGCTGGAGCCGTGCACGGACTGCATGAGGGCGAAGGGCAGGCGAGGGTCGGTGCCGCGGGGGCCGGAAGTTTGGGCGTCTAAACCCCTCGGGCGTGTTCACCTGGACCTGTGTGGACCGCTGGTGCCTTCCCTGGGCGGCAACCTCTACCTGTTCGTCGCCGTGGACAGCGCCTCGCGGTGGAACAAGGTCTACGGTCTCCGGCGGAAGTCCGACGCGCTGGCGGCAACGAAAAGGCTGCTGGCGGACGTGGGGCGGTACGACCTCGGGCGCATCGAGTGTTTCCGCGTCGACAACGGCACCGAGTGGACCCGCGGCGACTTCCGGCGCTTCTGCGACGACAACGGCATCGGCGTCGAGTTCACACCTCCTGGCGTTCCACAGTACAACGGCGTCGTCGAGAGCGCCATCTGGCGCATCATGAAGGCCGGCATGGCCGCTCGCCGCAGCGCTGGCCGTGTGTTCAACGTCGACTTCGCCTCCATCCCCGGCCTCGACGAGCGCGGTGACCGTCTTTGGATGGAATCGGCGTAATGGGCCACCGACGCTCTCAACCAGAAGGCGACCAAGGCCAACCCCGGGCGGCGCTCGCCGCACGAGATGTTCACCGGCGAGCAGGGGCCTTTCCGCGTGCTGCCGTTCTTCCAGCCTGGCTTCATGCGTGAGGATCGCCGCACTAAGCTCGACGACCAGGCCACCCTCTTCTACTNCACCCGAGCGGCACCGTCAAGGTCCTCAAGGCGTCCACCGGCCGCGTCGTCTACACCAACAACGTGTCGCGGGTGACGTCGGCGCCAGCCGGCAAGGGGGGTTCCGCTGGTATCAACGCTGCGCGGACACCCCCTCCATTCACGCCGCCGGTCGTCTCGATCAATTTTGGCCCAGCACCGACGCCTTCGACCGCTGCACCGCCGCCGCCAGCGCCCACGCCGTCGCCCGCTCCCGCTCCCGCTCCCGCTCCCGCTTCGCCCCCTGCCGCTGCCGCAACGCCGCTGCCCGTNGTCCACCGGCCGCGTCGTCTACACCAACAACGTGTCGCGGGTGACGTCGGCGCCAGCCGGCAAGGGGGGTTCCGCTGGTATCAACGCTGCGCGGACACCCCCTCCGTTCACGCCGCCGGTCGTCTCGATCAACTTTGGCCCAGCACCGACGCCTTCGACCGCCACACCGCCACCGCCAGCGCCCACGCCGTCGCCCGCTCCCGCTCCCGCTCCCGCTCCCGCTTCGCCCCCTGCCGCTGCCGCAACGCCGCTGCCCGTTCCCACGCCTTCACAGCCGCCCTCTGCTACTTCGCCGTCACCGTCGGCGACCCTCGCTCCTGGCCAAACGTCCTCTACCGCTTCGCCGTCACCGTCGGCGACTCCCGATCCGAACCAGCCGCCGTCGCCGCCGGTCCCCGCGATGCCCCCGCTTACGGCTCACGCCATGCGGCAGCTTCGCCCGGGTACAAAGGCCGAGGGTATGACAGACCCGCGGCTGTCAAGCCGCTCGAGATCGGGCACAAGGCACAGCACAGGACTTATCTCGATGCTAGGCAAGAACACTCTGGTGTCGATGCTGGAGGCTCGGAGCGCGGTGGATGAGGAGCGCAGGGAGCCGGGGGGAACGGGGGCCGGAGAGCAGGGGGGAGCACTCGCAGCGGCGGACCCGGGGGCTGGAGGAGCGGGCTTTCCACTCGCATTTGCCACGATCCTCGCCAACCGGGAAGACATCGACGCCACGCTGCGAGACCAGCGCCCGCCGGAGCAACGCCCTGACCTTCCGCACTACCAGGCCAGCGAGCTTCGTGTTCCAAAGAGCTACAAAGAGGCCATGGCGTCGGAGCACCGGCACCTGTGGAGAGACTCTATGCAAAGGGAGTTTTATGACTTGTTGGAAGCAGAGACTTTTACTCCGTCGAAGTAGCAACTAGTGGAGAACGCAATTAACGCTAAGTGGGTATTCGATTGGAAGGCAGATGAGTTTGGATGGCCCACTAAGGTAAAGTCGAGACTTGTAGCGAGAGGTGACATGCAGAGAGAGTACATTGACTTTGGAGAGTTGCACGCACCTACCGTTTCTGTTTCGTGTGTTAGGATGTTGGCTGCTTTGGCGTGCGAGTTGAACCTCGACTTGTGTCATTTCGATATGGAGCAAGCTTTTGTGCGTTCGGAGTTGGAGGAAGACGTGTACATGCGTTTGCCGCAGGGATGTGGAGCTCTATCTGGATTGATTGTAAAACTAAGCAAGAGTATGTATGGCTTGAGACAGGCATGAATGCAGTGGCATGCAATGCTGAAGAGGTGTTTGGTGAGTTAGGTTTTGAGCAGTGCATGGCCGATGCTTGTGTGTTTCGTTTGATTGAGGATGGATGTGTTGTGTTAATTTTGGTAGTACATGTAGATGACATTTTTGCTGCGGGTGAGAGGGAGAGACGTGACAAGTTTGGCGCCGACCTTAACAAGTCCGTGCCAGTGAAGAACCTGGGAGAGTTGAGATGGTATTCTGGGTGCTAATACGAGAGGAACAAGGAAGCCGGTAGGTTGACGATTTCTCAACAGATTTTCACGGATGAGCTAGCAGCAGAGTATGGAGTAGTGGGAGGTAAGAGCGTTCCGATGTTTTCGGGGGTGAAGCTTTCTGATTTTAATGCGGATGAGGTGGCAACAGACCTTCCGTTTCGTGAACTAGTCGGATCTTTGATGTGGCTGGCGAATCAGACTAGGCCAGATATTGCGAACGCAGTAAGGGCAGTAGCTAGGTATTGCGCCTCTCCGAAGCTGGTACACTGGATTGCAGCGATGGATATTTTTCGGTATGCGACGAGGACGAGTCACTTCGGTATTTCGTTTTAGAGAGGTACAGTAGAGGGTTTCAGTTTGCAGCGGCACACTGATGCGGACTTTGCAAGCAAGGCAGCAGACCGTAGGTCGGTATCAGGGGGGATCGTCACGTGTGGAGGAGGCGCCGTGCCTTGGTTTTTCAGAACACAAGTGTGTTGCGCTTTCGACGACGAAGCAGAGTACGTCGCGCTTGGTGACGTAGTGAAGGAGATCTTGTTTTTGAGGAAAATTTGGCGTTTCATGTTGCCGCAGGTCGGCATGCCGTGCATCCCAGTCTTCGAGGACAGCCAGGGGGCGATTCAACTAGCGCAGAACCCCGTTTCAAACTCGAATTCGAAGCACATAGATGTAAGGCACCATATTCTCAGGGAACTGGTAGAGAGGAAGGAAATTTCGGTGATCCACGTGCCGTCGCCATACCAGCGTTCAGAGTTTCTTACGAAGAGCTTGCCGAAGGACACCTTTGAGTCTCACCGTGATTTTGTGATGAATTTGGCATGAGCATTTTATTGTTTTTCTGATGGGTTGTGTGTTGGTTTTGCTTTCATTTTCCGCGCCAAGTACTCACTACGCGCGATGCAGCATTCATTCATGCTTCTTTGAACGATTTTTCTTTTTATATTTTGGTATAGTCTTGATGGCATAGTCTATATTCTTGAAAAGACGTGTTTTGGTTGAGATATCGGATGTTAGCAAGTTTGCAGTGAGAGGCTATTGCGAGTAGGGGGGGTGTTAGATATAGTCGCAGCAGTATCTGGTCGTGAGGATCCCAAGGGATACGTGTTGGGGATTTCGTGTGTTGTAGGATACCATCGGTGCAGTCACGGGGACCCTTTTGGCGCGGTTGAAAGCGAAAGATTGTCTGACGAAGTAAGGGAAATCTTCGTTTTGTGAGAAGCGGCAGAAATAAACCTTGGCCAATCAGAAAGCAGGAAGCGGACGAGCGTGTTGGTGTTCTGTTTTCAGTCTGTACTCGCTTCGCCGTGTTTACCGGGGGCGAGCGAGAGCACGTGTGCGTGTGGTGGCCAAGGGTTGTTTTCTGCTGTGACGTTTCTTTTTGGCACGTGACGTTTCGTGGCGTGACGTATTGGACGGGAGAAGTTTCGCGTCTACGTTTCCCCTGTTTTCGGGGCGACATGGATTCGCATCCAAATCTCGGAAAAGGGCCTGCCGACGGTATCCGTACGTCGGTGGATGCCTCGATCACCGACGGCGGCGGCAGCAGCGGTGGTGGCGGTGTCCCTCCCTCCGCCACTGTGGCGGGCGCGGCTGCCGCAATGGCATTGGCAGCCCAGGACCAGCAGAACCCGCCGCCGCAGCAACAGCAGCCGCCGCAGCAGCAGCCGCAACAGCAGCAGCAGCAGCAGCAACTTCAACGTCAGCAGCAAGAAGCGGCAGCTGGGGCCGCAGCCGCGGCGGGGTCGGCGGTCGGCGGGGACGAGGCACGGCTGGCCGACGGCATGGCTGGTTTATCCGTGGAGGGCCTCGGTGGGTCGTCTACGATGGCCGGGGGGAACAACCTGGGTGCCGGTGCGGCGTCGGGGGCGCCGCGTGCGTTGCAGCTTGTGATGTTGCAGCAAGATAACGAGAATCTCGTTGCGAAAGTATCGGCTTTGGAGCAATCCCTGCAGCAGTTGCTGAACAACCAAAGGGGGGGCGCGGGTTCGCACGTGGTCGGCCCGCATGCTGCTGATGGCGCGGGAGCCGCGGTGGCGGTCGGTGCGGGTCTTGGTGCAGCTGCTGCTCCTGGGTCGGACGCTGATCGCCAGCGTCGCTTCGCAAAAGCGGAATTCGAGAGTACCGCTTCTGCTTGGCGTGCGGGACGTTTGATGTGGGCGCTGCGTGGTAAGCGGGGAATTGACGTTCCCAACAAAGAGACCCTGCAAACGATGATGGGGGGGACCGTTACCGGCACCGACAAGACTTTGCAGCAGCTTCGGACCATGTCCGGACTGAACGTCCTCGACTTCTTTCCCGTTGGCAATTCTGGTGAGCTGTCAGTCCCGGACCACTTCGATTTGACCTGTGCTGCGATCGTTAACGTGTTGAAATTTGGTCTCTCTGCCACCTCCGCGGACAACGCTGCAGCTCTGGCGCGCTTGCTGCCCATGGAGCAGGCCATGCTTTCGGCGCGGGGTACGCTGCGCATGCAAGCCCTCCGTCATATGGGCGATTTTCAGGGGAGGGGGTCGCGGGGGACCTTCGCCGACCTCCCTAACGACGATTTTCGGGAATGGGCAAATGCGGTAATGTTGTGGATGTTACCGATGCAGAATTTGCCGGTGCCGCCGGAGTCTTTCGAGCGCTTTGGCCCCCCGCCGGTTCCTCGGTTCGATGGCATCAACGGCTTCTCCATGTCCGGGAGCATTGCGCTACGGATGTTCGGGACTGTGGGTGGTGGAGGGTCTTCTGGATCGAGTGGGGGTAAGAGACGGCGGGGGGACTCCCGCTCCGCGGGTGGGGACTCCAAACGCCGGTCGAAAGTGTGTTTCGAATATCGCGACTCCCAAACATGCAGGTGGGGCGACTCCTGCGTGTTCCGCCATGCGACTGGGGGCGGCAAGGGTGGCGGCGGCGGTGGGGGTCGCGCTTCGGGTGGAGGGGGAGCCTCGGGCGCCGCGACCGATGGCGGAAGCGGCTCGTCGGCGTTGGTCGTTCGCCGGGGAGATGGCAGCAACTGAGGACACGGGCTCTGCCTTTCGGCGGGGCCAACTCCACAGTCGTGTGGGAGCGTAGATCAGACAGCGGGGCCGGGTTCCAGAGCGCTTGGGGCCGCCGCGTTGGCGGCGGCGGGCGTGGGTGTCGGTCGAGGGGCGTGTGTGCCCGGGGCTGTCTCTTCGTTGCGACCAGGTGATGTCTCGTTTAGGTCGATAGCGGGTTCGCGTGAACTTTGCGAATGGCGATCTCGTGTGTCTGCTTTGGCAGCGGTGTGTTCACCCTCCGATATGGGTGTGGGTCTTAGTGAGGTGGCTTCCGCTGGTTCCGCCTTGCTTAGACAGTGTGGGGGGCGCATTGAAGTGCTCGTGGCGGCCGGTGGTGCCGGCTTCTTTGCGCCCCATGTCAATGTTGCGTCGGTTCGTGAATTTTTTGGGGTCTCGAAACGTTTTCCGCAAATTGACAACCTCCTCCGCGTGTTGTGTCCTGGCGCGCCGGTCGATGTCGCGCCGGGGGGGTGTCTAGACGCCGAATTAAAATACGGCAACCATTCCAGCATTTTACCATACACTCCGCAGATCATTGACAAGATCGTTTCGGATGTTACGTTAGGTCGTGCTCTCGTCTTCGACGTGCAGTTCATCCGTGAAATTTTGGGTGTGCGTGTTTCCCCCCTTGGGGTGGTGGACGATCCGAAATTCCGCATCATTCATGATCTCACATTCACAGCGGCTGGTGCGCAGTCTAGCGTCAATGCAGATACAGATTTTGATCGTGCCCCCGAGTGTCTGTTGGGACATGTACTTTTCGATGTCTTGTCGCGCGTCCTCTTTTTGCGCCAATTGCACGGGCCGACTCTCGAGATTTTGCTCTGCCGTATTGACGTGCGTGAGGCTTTTCGCCAAGTGTTGGTCGACCCTTCGAGGGCGTCGGTATTCGGATACACGATGGGGGACGTGGTCGTCATCGACCTTCGTTGCCAGTTTGGTTGGCGTTCCAGCCCAGGTTTTTGGTCGCTGTTTGGTTCCGCTCTTGAGCATGCACACACCCACACTACTTTTCAGACAGCTTCTGTGTTACCTGCCGGAGTTGCGGCGGTTGATCATGTTCAGCTTGTTCCTCCCCAAAACCTCCCCGTATCGTTACCGAGTGATTGTGCCCAAATTTCTATGGAGGGCGGTTTCGCTGGTTCCGCGTTTTTCGTTCGGTATTATGTGGATGACGGTGTGCTTGTCGAGGCGCGGTTTTTCACGGATGGTCGTCGTTGCCTACGTGCAGTGCAGTCGATCGCGTCGGACCATTTCCGTCTGCTGGGACACCGGGGGCCAAACGATCCTCCGTTGTTGTCTGCAAAGAAAATCACCGATTTTTCGACGCGTTTGGAGGTGTTGGGATGGATTTTAGACACGCAAACTCTCACAGTGACCATGCCTCTGCGAAAACAACAGAAATTAAACCGCTTGTTGGGCGAGTGGCCGCGGTCGCGTCGGTGTGCGACTGCCCGTCACGTCGCGGAATTGACCGGTTTTCTTCTTCACGTGTCTTTTGCCTTGCGTCCGGGCAAATTTTTCGTCGGCTGTCTGCTGGCCGACGTCGGCATGCCGCAGTCCGAAGTGTTTCCTTCGCGTGTTTCTAACCCCAATCGGCGTGTCGTGTTGGGGCCCATGTTTCACGATGATTTGGATTTTTGGCGCTGGTTTGCGCAGCGAGGTCTGGCGTCGCGTGGCGGCCAGTTGTGTGCACCGATGTACAATGTGGTGCTTCGTCCTCCGGTAATGGCTGTGTTTGCCGATGCTTCCAAAACGGCGTTTGGAGCATACTGTGTGCAAACTGGGTGTTATTTCCGGCGTGATCTGACGTGTGACGAGCAGTCCCGCTTTGTGGGGTCTAGCAAGTCTGTATCCGAGTGTGCCGATGTCAGTATCAATGTTCTTGAGCTACTCGGCATGGTCGCGGTGGCATGGGTGTTGATTGTCCAACAGCGTCATGTGCCGGTGTCGGCGGGTGACTGTATCCAGTTGCGGGGAGACAATGAAGCGAGTGTGGCATGGATTGAGCGGTGTCGCGGAGGCAAGGAGCCGCGGTCAGGCGCGCTCATGCGGATGCTGGGGGCGATTGAAGTGTCTAGCGGGTGGCTTTTCCAATCGTCCCATGTGCCTGGTGTGCTCAATTCGCTTGCTGATGGTATTTCTCGCTGGCCCGCCGCTGATGTGTACGACAACCTTTGTGCCGCTGCCCCCCATGTACGATGGCAGGAAGTGGAGTTGAATCGAGCCGGGCAAGAGATGTGCTCTGCCGTACTGGGGCCAGCCTCGTCCGCCAGTCACTTGCGCGAACGTCTGAACGAACTTACCTGGGCCTTTTTGGAGCCTGGGTGAAATATCGTGTGATCGTGGTGCACCGGCCGGTTTGTATTGCTGCCGAGGTTGTTACGCGTGATATCGTTGCTCAATTGCTTGAGTACGTCGCGTATTGTTTTTCCGTTTTGGGTCTACAACAATCGACGATCGCCAGTCATTTGTCCGCTATTAAGTTTTTCCATCGCGTGTCGGGTGAAGGGGAGCTTGACACGCAGCATCCACTGGTGCGTTGTGCTTTACGTGGGGCGGCGCGGGGGCATGCCGACGTGGGCACACAGCAGCGGTTGCGACGGCCGGTGTCTTGGGCGATGTTGCAACGGGGGAGTTCGCTGGTATCGCAATGGGGGGGAGGCGGGCGCGTTTTGTTTCTCGCGCTGAGTGCTTCTCTCTTCTTCCTGACGCGAGCATCCGAGATGTTTGCGGTGTCGAAATTGTCTATGCATGAGGTTCATGGATTGCGTCGGGGGGACGTAGCGTTTTTTCGGGGGTCGGTCCAGCTGTTGCAGTCGGCGCAGTGGCCATTGGCCGATCGCGTGGAGGTACGTTTTCGTTCGTCGAAAGGATACCAGTTTCGGAAGGGGGCGGTTGCACGCGCACACGGCAAGGTCCGTGCTGTGGGGTTGACCGAGGGGGTGGTGCAGTGGATGTCATGGTGGAGCTGCTTTCTCTGTATACCTTTTTGCCTTCGCATGCGCCTCTCGTGGCTTTCGGTGTTGGTCAGGGCCAGTGGGCCATGTGGACTAAGTGTCAAGCTACTGTGGCTCTTCGCCAAGTGGTTGCGTTGGCGGGTTTGCAGCCCGAGGAGTACGCGCTGCACTCCCTGAGAATTGGGGGCGCAACTTTCTTAGCGGCGGGGGGGCTTCGCCGGAGGTTCTCCGAAGGGAAGGGCGATGGTCGGGGAAGAGTAGTCACCAGTGTTACGTTCGGAATGTTGGGGGTGACGCTTCGTGGGTGTCAGAGGTGTTGGCGAACAAGGAGAAGGTGACTACACAGCCAGGGCAAGGTACCCGATGGGGTGACGTGTGAAGGGGTTCCGTGGCACGTTGTGTATGTCGAGATCCTTGTTGTACCGATGGTATTTTGCTGTACATATTGTATGCCGCATATATTGGACGTTGTACATATCGTATGTTTTGCATATATGGTATATGTTGTGCATGGTTTGCCAAAATAAAAGGGGGGGGGGGGGCGGATCAGTATGGCGCACCAGCCTTAGGTTTGGGGGCAGACAGAGTTTATGTGTCTCTGTCTGTTGGGTGGCTGATGTTTATACTGATCGTAAGGAGTAGACCGGGGGCGTGTGTGGTGTTGCCCTGCCTGGTCTCCGCTCTTTTCCCCTCCCCCTTGGCGAGCAAAGGGGGTACGCAAAATAATAATGGCAAATTTCGAAAGCATCGAGAAAAGCGAAAGATTGTCTGACGAAGTAAAGGAAATCTGCGTTTTGTGAGAAGCGGCAGAAATAAACCTTGGCCAATCAGAAAGCAGGAAGCGGACGAGCGTGTTGGTGTTCTGTTTTCAGTCTACTCGCTTCGCCGTGTTTACCGGGGGCGAGCGAGAGCACGTGTGCGTGTGGTGGCCAAGGGTTGTTTTCTGCCGTGACGTTTCTTTTTGCCACCCACCCACCCTTGCTTTTGGGGGTGTCAGTGGACATGGAAATAGGAGCAGCGGCGTTGTGTTCAGGGTGAGTGTCCGTCGGGGGGGACTCACTGTGTAGCCGCAGTCGGGGTTGCGTGTGCCTATGCTGGGCGCAGTTCCGAGGTGCTCGTCCCATTTATTTTGAGTGGGATTGGTGTACATCGCACTTCAGGTGGTATATGCAGGACGCATGTTGTTGGGTGTATCGGACCGTTGCATGGTTGGGGGAGTGCACTCCTGGCTGCTGTGTGTGGCTATGTTGGTGCTACGCGCTTCCCCGTTACGTGCGTGACGAGTCTGATTGATAAGTGGATACGCATACATATAATATGGCTTATATGTGGGTGTCCTGGTGTCCGGGTACATGCGTGTTTTTCTGCAGTGCGATGGGAAGGTCAGGGGAACAGAGAGTAGCGAGAGACGAGAAATGGTTTTTTTCTTTGGTGGCCCGGGTGTTTCGCCAAATGGCAATACTAATGTTGATGGGCCTTGTGGGGTTCTCTCGTGGTTTCAGTATGAACAAGCCGGTGTGGTACTATCAAACAGACTGCGGGAAAAATGGGAACGTACCCAAAAATGAGAATGGGCGTTTGTTTTNAGGTAGCCAGCATCGCGAGAAATCAGGTCGAAACCAGCACGAATCGCTTTTTGCGCCCGTGAGAAGGCGTGATGTGGAGCATGGCGGTTCTGATGAGCTCATCTCACAGCTGGGGCGAAGGGGTTTCGCAGGATAATTTTGGTTCTGTGATACACCCGATGGTTCTGAAGAAAAACGCCAATTCTCATTTTTGGGTACGTTCCCATTTTTCCCGCAAGTCTGTTATCAGCGATTGTGGGGGGCAGGCAGAGTTTATATGTCTCTGTCTGTTGGGTGACTGATGTTTATACTGATCGTAAGGAGTAGACCGGGGGCGTGTGTGGTGTTGCCCTGCCTGGTCTCCGCTCTTTTCCCCTCCTCCTTGGCGAGCAAAGGGGGTACGCAAAATAATAATGACAAATTTCGAAAGCATCGAGAAAACGATGAGGCTTGCGTGCGTGTTGCGCACTTTTTTCTTCCTTCTCGCCTTCCACCGCTACCGCCGTCTCTCTCCAATCAAGTTTCCTTCTCCCACTCTCTCTCTCCACCTCTCTCTCAATCTCTCACTCTCGGCCTAACACGGCCGACTACCCAGTGCCCCAAGTAACGCCCAGGACGGGCTTGCTGCACCCCGCGTAGTTTACCTTTCAACGCGCAACACCGCTGCTGACACACGGCGCGCTTGTTTTTTCGTGTGAAGTTTTCGTAGTAGACTAGACTAATGCTCTCCAGCCAACGTTTCGGCTGTTCCGAATGAACCACTCACGGGCTCGTGGCTTCTCTTCGTCCGCGGGTGCTGTAGCTGGTACATGACCTTTTGTCGCTGTTATCAACAGGCCAGTCACTCCAGCGGCTACGGCCTCTACACCACCACCTTGTGTTCAAGAAGAGCGTCTGTCTGTGCTTACCTGTCATGCCGTACCTGTGTACCCGAGGCTTCAAGCCATTGTCCGTTGGGCAACGTATTCCGCTCTCTACCTTTGTCAATGGTCATGTTTCGCATTAACACGTGTTAAACTCACGAATCTCTCTCCCCTTCTCTCCCCTTCCCCCTATGTTCTTTCGTTCTCTCCTTCTTCCCTCCCTTCCCCCTCCACTTTGTCTCTGAACCCCCCCCCTCTTCTTCCTTTTGCCTTGCCCCTACTGCTATTTGGCATTCCTGCTCAACGTATGCCCTGAAACCCTCAATAATAATCTCAAGGCACCAAGTATCAGTCGTACGGAGCGGCCTATGGCAAGGGCATCTACATGGCCGAGGCGCTCAGTGTCTCGCTCAAGTACGCCGGAATGAGCTCGAACGGAGAGGGCAGTGGCAATCACTGGCCGCTGAGCTCCATAGATGGATCGGCCGTCATCGTGGCCGGTGCGAAGTCATCGACAAGTGGGTCATGGTTTCACACGGCCTGTGTAGATGGCTGGGCGCTTTGTGGCCTGTTTTCTCGCTGAATCGGCGAACACGATATGACTTTTCAGTTGTATTTTCTATAATTCTTATGTTCGGGAAGATTTATGATCGGTTTGGATCGAGCTGGTCTTAATTAATGCTTTCGGAAGCTTCGTTCTCCATACCCTGGATGCGCCACGGTTGTAGTAACAGCGGGTCATTTGTGTTAAGATGTGCAGCATATCACAACTGACTTGTAGCATAGTGGATATGCTGTTCATCTTAACAAAAGTACAACCGGGGTCAGCCGACTTGTAGCATATGTGGATATGCTGTACAGCTGACTTGTAGCATGGTGGATATGCTGTACATCTTAACAAAAGTACAACCGGGGTCCTTCAGCCTGTTAGAGCTGTTGGACCTCGGTGAACCCCAGGGTTGTAATCCCTGTAATCAGCGCTGCCCCATGCGGTTCATCGACTTACAGGCGGGAATATGTGTCTTCACGTGGACGACTGGAGTGTATACCGTCTCTCAGGCGTATCCCAGACGTTTTCGGAACAAAAGGCGTCACGAGTGGTCCACGAAGGATTCGGACCCCGGATGTACTTCTTTTGTGATGTACAGCATATCCACTATGCTACAAGTCAGAGCTGACTTGTAGCATAGTAGATATGCTGTAAATCTCAACAATGTTTTTTTGGGCAAGGTTTGATGTTGTTTGGGGTGTCGGCGCGTGTACTATGTTATCACGCTCGCGGGCTCTTGTCGAGAGCGTGTTGCACAAAGGAGTGACTCAAGTTCCTTGATTAACTATTAACGAG